TGACTGAAACTCACTTCACTCAACGGACAAAATTCTACATACGTAGATACGTAGATGACAACGAAACATACCGAACTGACCATCCAGACAACACGGCACATGGAGGCACTGTAATCATTGTGGACAAATCCTTAAATCGCCACATACTTCCTGCTAATCCTACAAATTCCCTACAATACACCAACGTTTCCTTGAACTCTCCCAAATTCCAATTCACGATCGCCTCAATGTGATATAGCTCCCAATATAGTTGTATCCACAAACGAATTAAACACCATTTTCTCAATAATGGGAAAATCATTCATTGTACAGGGAGACTTTAATGCTAAAAAAACTCTAGAGTTTCTGGCAGCATTCCTGGAAGAAGGCTACAAAAATGTATTGAAGACTTAAAACTTTCTGTCATTTCTCCATCTCAACCTACCTATTGGCCAACTTCAATATCAAAGTCTCCCAATCTTCTTGATTTCTTTGTTACACGCTCTCTACCACATGCACATTCCAACCTCTTTTCTCTGTTTGACCTTTTATCTGATCATAGCCCAGTTTTACTGGAACTATCAAACAACCCATTCGTTAAACCTAAACCCCCAAAATTAATTAACGGGTACACCAACTGGGACGACTTCAAACATTTTCTGAACAACAAAATTAAGTTAAATACTTTTATTAGTACAGCTGACGACCTCGACAATGCAGTCGACGACTTAACTAAAGATATACAAGAGGCTATCAGATTTGGCATTCGACGAGACCAACAAGAACATAAACTAAATCTGCTTCTTAACTACCTCATCCAGATGTACATCATATAAAGCAGAACTCAACAAACTAACCAGAATACTTCACGAAGAATTAGCATAATTTAAAAACAACAACTACAAGGACTACTTTGACTCAATAAACAATAATAACACATCAGTATGGACAACAGGAAGACATATACTGAAGAAAAAAGACGTTCAATACCATATCCGATGAATACCTGGGCGAGGAAAAAGCCAATGAATTCGCTAAATATCTTGCACAGTTATTTGGGACAAACAGGACAATACACGCACTAACACTGTAGAATAGGAACTGACAACACCATTACTTTTACCATTATCCCCACCAGCATTTCAACCAAATGATATACAAAGAAATAAACAGACTTCCAAATAAAAAAGCTCCTGGCTATGATCTGATCACTCCCTTTATTCTTCAACACCTACCTCGAAAAGCTGTTCTATTTCTTGCACACATCTATAACTCTATCTTACGCACACCCTATTTTCCTCTCCTTGGGAAATTTCTCACAATTAAAATTCCTAAACCTACAAAACCTACCACTACTCTTTCATCCTATCGTCCTATAGCACTTCTTCCTATAATGGGAAAAATGTTTGCAAAACTTCTCCTGCACTCTATCCTAGAAAGTAGTGAAGTGATACCAAATTACCAGTTTGGCTTTCGTTATTATCACTCCACTGTGCAACAGTGCTATCGGACAGTAGACGCTATCTCCGTTGCTTTTGAGGAAAAGGAATACTGCTCTGCGGTCTTCCTTGACATAGAGAAAGCATTTGATAGTGTCTGGCATAAGGGACTGTTATGAAAATTAAAACTGCACTTACAACGTTCTACTTATTCTACTTACTTCTACGTTACACTTCTACTTATTTTCTAATTCTTCAATCCTTCTTTTTTAACAGATTTTTCTGTGTATCTGTAGATTCTTCTGACTCCTCTTTTTTCCCTCAATACATTGGCATACCACAAGGTAGCGTCTTAAATCCAATTCTCTATTCACTATACACATCTGATATCCCTGAGCACCCTTGCACCACCCTCTATTGCTTCGCTGATGACACTGTAATGCTTTATTCCCACAAAAACCAACTATCCCATCAATTGCCCTTCAAAACCACCTCTGTGATCTTCAAAAATGGTTTGAGAAATGAAGAATTAAAGTAAATAGTAGTAAATCCACCCATGTGACTTTCTCTCTTAGGAAAGCCCCATGTCCACCCATAACGATTGATAATTACCCAGACTTCAAAAAACTATGTGCGGTACCTCGGAATCTACTGACAAATGACTTACCAGGAACATACATACTAAATTCCCATAATGGCCTTTCCAATGCTCCCGATTCCAAATCAAAATAGAAAATACTTCTTAATTTATCTCTACCAGATTCCAATAACCTCATTTTCCTCCCTGTAACTCCAGATGATCTTAATGACCATTTCTTATCATTTGCTTCTAATCCTTCTCCTACTCATGATATCGAACACCACAATTTCAATCCTGAAAACTTCTTTTCTTCCCATGTGTCCTAAGACGAAGTTCTTTCCACTATCCTAAAATCCCACATAAATGATTATGGACTTGACAATATTCCAGTAAAACTTATAAAATCCAGCCTTCCTACCGTTATTCCAGTAGTTATAAACACTGGCCAAGTGTTTCAACTGCCTCCCGCACTGCTTCATTCTACGCCCTGATGAAGACCTGCAAAGTGGGTCGAAACGTCGGAAAAAAAATTAAATAATACTATTCGTATAATTTATTATTTATTTGATCGCACCCCCCGATCAACTCCTTCTCATATAATTTCTTTTATTATTTTTTTTATATTGACTATTTAATCAAACTATATTCTTGTTTATGTATCTCTGAGGCTCCTTAGCCCACATTTATGACTCTGTATTATTCTAAAGGATCTCGTCCCAGAATAAATAAAGCATTATTATTATTAAATTAAAAAGGCTAGACGATATAACCAACTCTTCTTCTGGACTACAGTTCTGCACTTAAATTACGAAACAAGCGAATGATCTACAACACCATACTGAGACCAATTTAGACATACGGAGCAGAACTTTGTGATTCGGCAAAACAAACACACATTAATAAATTACAAACAACACAATAAAAAATTCTACAAAAAATTGTCAACGCATCTTGGTTTCAATTGATTTCAAATTAGACCTGGGCACTCTTGAAATAATTTATTTCTGTAATAAATCATATGGTTATTCCACGAATGAATTATTTCCGGAATAATGGTTATTCCTGAAATAATATTTCAAATTGTCAATAAAATAATCTCGATGAAATAACTAATAAATTTATTTCTGAAATAAATATTTCAATATTTTAACATTCTTTGGAATAAAGTAATTTATCTCGAAATGAGTTATTACTGAAATAATTAGTTCATAATTATTATTTCTGAATTATTTATTTCATGAATAAATTATTGCATATAATCAAGAAATAAATATTTTATAAATAACACTGTTCTGAAATAACATAAAAAATTTACCAATATGCAGCATTTCCTTTCCTGCGGTTAGGCAGCCTTTAGACTTCTTATTCAATGCTGTTTGATACATATTAATCTTTGTCAAGAATGAGTGTGCACGACAGCCATTTTGTTTTTTTCGTTCCTTCGTTCGTTGGGCGGACTTAAGACACCTTACCTAATGCCGTTTGAGACATATTAATCTTACTAGAGTACTTTTTACCTTAATGTGTACTTTTCGGATTTAATCGATTTCAGGGTCGTCTGTTATGTTTTTGGGGCCGCTTTTTATAAAAATACTGTCGAATTTGCGATTGCACCTCCCCCACTTTCCTGCATCGATGTTTTGTAACTTTTCGGATTTAATCGATATCAGGGTGGCGTTTTATGTTATGTGGTGCGTTTTTGTGAAACAATTGTCGAATTTGAGATTGTGCTCCTCCTTCACTCTCCGGCATCGACTTTTAGTAACTTTTCCGATTTAATTGATATCAGGATCGAATATTATGTTTTCGGGCTAGCTTATTATGAAAATATGGTCGAATATGAGATTGCTCTAACCCTCCACCCTCCAGTATCGTCTTTTTGTAACTTTTCGGAGTTAATCGATATCAGAGTGGCCCTTTATCTTTTCGCGGTATCTTTTTATGAGAATTATGTCGAATTTCAAGGGACCTACTCCTACAACAATAACAAAATTATGTCAATGAAGCAAATACGCAGTCAATGCCTAATTCATGAAATTTGCTAGGTGCGCTGCAGCGCAGGTGCAAATGGCTTAAAACGTAAGAAATAAATAAAATTTATATTACTTTTGGAATGCCCAGTTAGGGTTTTGAAAAAACGTGTCCACTCAACTACTTTATTGAGAGAGCTGATAGCAAAAAAGAAGTTATGTATATTGATCGGATGAAGTATTATCGTTTGTTTTCTGATGACGAGCTTCCTGGAGGTTGCAAACGTACCTTAGAAGTGAAGTATGAAAATCGTGATGCAGACATCAACTGAAGTAATTCCGAGAATGACAACATTTATGATTCGGCTCCAAAGCTGCAATTACGACCAGAAACACCAAATCTTTCTCTGATTTTTTCTTTTCTTGGACCATGAGCTTGCCATAGAAAGCCCATTTCGAGCTTTAGCCTTGATTCATCATTGCACTAAGATTAGATCACCCGAAGTGAGGTATTGATCGCGAATGCAATCGAAGTCACTGGTAACACAGCGTTAAATCTATATAAGAAGCAGCTGAGGGGTTTATGAAGCCCTAAAGGAGTTTTCAGGGTAGAAGTGGGTAACATTAAAAGAAAAATCGCCAACGGAGCTTTTTTCGCAGCCCACCCTCACCAGGAGGACCTGCCTGATTTGTGAACACCGACTCGATGGAAATCTAAAAGGATCAGAAGATGACCGAGGTGATGTTATCCGTAGCATGAAATGGGGGTAGAACCGATATTTTGTACTTTCGAAACTTCATTGTTATAAGGCGCGATAGAGTCAAGGATAGCCTATGGAGAGGTTAATAGTCAACTAATGCGTAGTGCATATTTAGATTTTGTAAAGATTAGTTTATTGTAGAACGTATTTTGTTTTTTTAAAAACATTATAATGTAATATGCGTGTAATTGGTCGTTATTATTATAATTAATACACGTTATTGAATTGCTGTGCTTCGTTCTCTATAACACCCATTACAATTCACTTAAGTTACTACTAGTGAGGTTGCTCCAAGGAGGATAGAGGCTACGTGAATGACTCATTCCCCCACCAATCCTGTCACTATCTTAAACCTTATAAATAGAGCGCAGTATTATGTTGTTTGAGTTTTAGTTGTGATATCTACAGTAACGATGAAGCTGAACTTTTTTATCCTATTGATATCTTGTGCATTAAGTATTGATTATGTATCTGCTAAGGTATATGTGATTAAATTACATTTTAAAAGTTATTTATTTATTAGTTGTTTTTAATTAAAGACCATTCTTGAATGTTTACTAAAGAGCACTTAAGTTAAAAATTATATAAAATGTATTTGTATCAAGGATCTTTCAGTATACTCTAAATATGTTATGAACATTATGGAACAAAGGCCCATAATAATACTATCATTTAAAATTAACGTTGATAATTATAGTTGGTGATTTGGTATCTGTTTTTAAATGACACAAAAACCATTTTTTTGGTACAGCAAATTTTTTTCTAAATTTATAATTAGTTACAATTTAAGAAAGTTCCAAAGGATAAACTGCTTATTAAATTTTCTATAATTCATTGTTTTGCTGTTATTTTTGTTGCACTGACTATCAATTTTAATTGATAAACTTGTATGGCATTAAGTATGCCCTCTTCTTACTGAGGCATATAGGACTAAATTGATTCAAAATAACTCAGGAACAGGGAAACTTGATTCAGAATAATAATTAATCAGGTGCTTCAGTTAAGTAGCGGTTGTGATTTAAATGTTTACATAAATTATTCTACCTTGTTTAGTTTTGCTGTGGTTCTCCACTTGGTATTAGTTGGTCAGTGTTAAACGTAATGGATCCGTTTAGATGTTAATACAACTTTCATACAAAGAAATGAAAGTGATAATAAATGATCATAATGGGAAAGAAACTTTTATATAAATATATGTATGAATTGAGTCTTGATTAATAAAATACTTTATTGCAAAATTGATTCTGTTTATTTTATATATTTTTTGTATATTTAGTGTGATCTTACCCTCCCCCCTGTAACCATTGTCCAACTGACAGAATGTTTATTCAATAAACAAATAAAATAATTTTTAAAAAAAATTGTAAAATTATACATATTTTGAAAATTATTCAGATGAAAATTCACAAAATGAAAAATCAGATTTTATTGCTGAAGGAGCAAAAATTCTGATAATTTACAATAAATCATTTTATTAATTGAGATTATAAAGTCGTAATCCTTACATATAGTGATATTAATATGATTTTTGCAATAATAGGTCAATCAGTATATTATTATTTAATACTCTTATTTTGTTATTGTTAATAAATGATAACCTGACTGATTTTCTCAGTCCTATTTTTATTGGATTGAAATCCTTTTTAGTTTGTTAATGTTCAATGATAGCCCTTGATTTGCTGAAACATCATTTTTCTGTTCTTGATTTTGATGGTTATTACTTCAAATCATAAACATGACTCTTTAAATAATATTAGTCCCTTTATTTATTTTATCTAATTTAGGAAATATCTGGAACATAAATGGATGTTTCCAATTACACAGCCTTTAATCTCCTACATACAAGTGAACAGTTAACTTGTCTTATGATTCTTCAATGCAGGCATCAACAGGACAGCAAAAGTGTGTGTGGGTGTATATATATATATATATATATATATATATATATATATATATATATATATATATATATGCAGAGCAAAACAAAAAAAAAAAAACTACATTTAGCAGAGACAATACACCATATCAAGTCATCTAAACATGCACTGCCTAAATTGACTAAATGTTAGTGGATTAAACTGTTCACAAGTATGTTGGGGAATCAAGGTTCTATTGTTGGAATCTTGCATTTATATCCTAATTACTTTTAGTCCATTTTGCTAATTTGTACTAGGAAATATCTTTTAATAAACTCCAAGTTTATTGAACTATGTCAATTTTTAATATCTAGCATTGTTAAATCACTTGAATTTATTAACTGAAATCGATACATGTATAAATATATCCCTCTTATTTTTATTTTTTTATTTTATTTTTTTTTTTTTTACAGATTTGTGCTGGATGTCCAAGTGACACAGATTCAAAGAGCCCAATTCTTTCTGAAAAATTAAATAAATTTGTTTCTAAACAAAATTCTATGTCTAATGAAGAACCCAAAAAAGATATTGTAATAACAAAATCAAGCAAGCAGGTACGAAATTAAAAATTTCCTTTATATCATCTTAATACTAAGTATTATTTTATTTATTTCAAATTATTATTTTATTTTATGAATAAATTAAGATATTTAAAGTGTTATAACTAATTTGAGCAAAAAACAAAACTTATCGATGGCTAATAGCACAACCATTATATGCTCATAACATCTGTTTTTTTTAGTATGAGTTAAGTTTAAAAGCTAGCTGTAAGTTCTTGCAGAAGACAAAATGTGGTGAATCTCATTATTTGAACCGCTTAGTTGCTTATTAATGTTTATAGTTTTTTTTGCAAATTTTTAGCTATTCTAAGATCAGTTCTTGTTTTTAAGTCTTTTGTTCTAATTCACAGTTTCAAAATATAGAAAAAAAAAATTTGCTTCACATTAGGACATAAAATATTTGTATTCGATAGTTCATGTTGTCCAGCAAAAAATGGACATAAATGGTTGTGGTTTTAGCCATTATCAAATATTATACTTCACAATTTATTAAATATTTATCTAAAGTAAAAAGTGTTACAATGATTAATTGTTGGCCTATTTATTAGGTTGTGGCGGGAATAAAATATACGACTGAGTTTACAGCTGTTGGAATCAACTCTGGTAAGAAATATAATTGTCATTGCTCTTGGCTTGAGCAGGAATGGGTTACCAAAGATCCACAGTTGTTGGAATACGAATGTTCAAGTAAAGGCAAGAGGTATGTTTAAGTAATAGAAACTGGTGATTTATGAGCATGTTATATAGAAAACTTTTTGTTAAATTATCTCAGTTTTGTGTTTGTCATCTCCTTTGTCCTTATCATTAATGTTTCCTATTACAGAAGTGTCTAGATTGAAGAAGTGATGTTTCATGAAAGACTGTTTACAGGTGTTTGTTATCAGGATTTTGATTTGACTAGTTTGAAGATAAACTAAATATATTGAATGAAACCATTGCATTATTTTTCTAAATGATTCCTTAGTCTGTCCTATTTTCCTAAAGTCTGAATTTTCTTTTTGGTGGTGTGGTATTTTATGTATAATGTCCTTTTTGAAGTTGTTATTATAGTGCTTTATATATTTTGTTATGTTAAAAATCTAGAATTGCATTATAGCATATAGGATTACTGTAGTTGCCCGAATATATTTAAATAATATTTATATTTATAAATATTATTTATTAAATTGGATATATTTAATAAATAAATTGTATTATTTGTATAAATTATTCTTTAATCTGTCCTATGTTCCTAATGTATAATTAATTATCTCTGGTGGTGGCATTTCACGTATATTGTCCTTTTTTTAAAACTTATTACAGTGCGTTAATTTTTTTTTAAATTATAAATTTAGAATTGTTTTTTATCATAGAGTATTTATTGTATTTCCTTGTATAGAGGTTGATTTTCTGAAATTTTCTTTTGTAAAACAAGGTACAGACCTATATTCTGATTCTAATGGGGTGTATAAAAAAAAAAAAAAAAAAAAAAATGACCCTTTTATTAAATTCCAGATTTAAAAGGATTTTAAATATTTTAATCCTATTTAATATTTAATAATCTCTTTAGAGCATTCTGTAAGATTGTTTAATCTCATTACACTTTTCAAAAATAGCCTCAGTTTAGTTATTTGTTTCAAAGAAGAAACATGACAGTGTCCTAAGAAATTCTTGTAATTTTAAGGTATTACTGGAAAAAAAATTTCACAACAGCTGAAGCAACTCTTTAAATTATTAAATATGAAGGGAATTATGCTCTTGACCAGTGCATTGCGCTACGACGTTGGAAAAGAAGAAGGACTCCGGGCGACAATTAGTGGATATTGATGGGGTTCTGCAGGAAGCTGTTAAATCAAATCCACAGGAACTTGCGAACTTGCCCGGGTATGTAATGTGTCAAAAGATACTGCTAGTCGCCATCTACTCTCCATGGGGAAAGTAAAAAAGAACAGTAGACTGGTTCCTCGTGAACTTAATCCTCAGCAATCAGCCAAGAGGTTAGAAATTTGTGAAAATTTATTGAAAAATCTTTCTGATATGAGATTTTACCTATACATTGTTACCTGTGATGAAAAGTGGATTAACTGGTGAAATCCGAATATCCCTGAGCAATGGCTAGATCACGGTCAAACTGCTTTTCCAGTTGTTGCACAGGAAAATTAAAAAAAAAAAATCTATGCTTTGCGCTTTTTTGAATTTTGAAGGTGTTATTCATCACGAATGTGTTCCTGGATGGATGATCTATTAATTCTGAATTCTATTGCAAACAACTGGAAAGATTGTACACAAAGTTGTCAGGGTCTTATTCTGATTTGATCAACCGAAAAAGAATTTTATTCCAATAAAATAATTCTCTCACTCTTCCCGTCAAAGCAAAGAAAAGTTTAAAGAACTTCATGGGTTCGACCTGCTGCCTTATTCACCATATAGTCCAGACCTCGCACCATCGGATTACTACTTATCTTGATCCATGGTCCATTTTCTTCAAGGGAAAAATTTGATAATTTTGCGTAAGTTGAAATTGCGGTCCAAGAGTTCTTTGATAGCCTATCTCAAAGAATAGTATCAGTGTGAGATCGAGCAATTGGCTAGCAGATGGCTAATGACGGTAGATAACAATGGACTATACTTTGAGTGTTTATTGTATTTTATATCAAAGAAATAATAATACAAATATTCGGTTGAAATATGGTCATTTTTTTATACACTGTATTATATAGAAAAATTTGAGTTTAACCAAACTTTTGACTTTAAAGACTCTTTGTACTCAATTTTTGTTTTTAATTCCATGATGGGTTGAAACTTAGTTTAATAGAGACAGTCTAAGTTAACAATAGGTGTTAACTTGTTAGCTTATTACATATTTCGAGCATAGAAATAGCACTAAGAAGTTTTATTCAAAGCAAAATCAGGCGTGAGACATTTGTTTAAGACATACATAGTATTTAAAATGCGAAATGAAAATGGCAAAGAAAGTTACATAAAACCAATACAGAAGAATAAATAACCTAAATGGTATTTGGAATCCAGATTTGAAAATACTGACCTGAACTAGGTAAGTTTAAGGAGAAACAATAAATTAAAGAGGAAATAATCAATTAGATACGTGGAATCGTCAACAAGTAATGTTAAACCAACTTAAATCAGTTTTGTAAAGCTACTCGAATCAACTGATTATTTTTTTATTTACCTTCAGATTCAAACCATTCCATTGTTTGAAAAAATTTTGAAATAATAATATTAATTCACAGAAATGTACGTGGTAACACTTTTTCATTTATTTACCTAATTTAACCATGTTTGATTTTTCTTCAGATATTTATATTAGATTTGGAAAAAAAAAAATTTATTAGTAGATTAATTTTTCGTCATCTATGTATTTTTCTTGAAAATTATTTTTAAATTGTTGGGTCCATCAATATTCGAATAATAACACTACTTAATCTAAATTTGTCTATGAACAACCTCCTGTACACCTTGGGCGCGATTAATGTAACACTCAATATTTTTATGGTTTAACAGACATTTTGTTCTATTTAAATTATTAAATTGAATTCAAATATTTAAAAAAGTATCTTTTTATTAGTATATGAATTATTGTTGGGTTTTTAATAAACATTAAATGAGTAGGGTTCGGTAAAGAAAACAGAAATAAATACAAGCATTTTAAATTTATTTTAAAATATATACAATAATACTTCTCAAAATAATAATATTTACAATGAAAAACATATATGGTGTATTTAAACAGACAGTCCAAACAAATCATTTGATTGTATGATTTCTACATTTCCAATTTCTTTATCACATTCTAGCACGTATTTATAGTTCTAACATGATCTTTACAAGAAAACATCTTGTATGTTCCATATGTTATTGCTGGACAAATATTCTTTTTTCGCTTACATATGTGACATGTTTCTCTTGTCTTCTTTTGGTCATAGGAAATAAAAACTGATGTTTGAGGTTCTAAAGATCCATATTGTTTGTGGAGAAAAGCTTGTATAGTCGAATTTTAGATCTCGGTTTCATTTGATCCATGGCTAATACTTTTATGCATGTTCCATGATTTTTAGCATAATGTATATTTTGCTGGGTGTGTAACAGGTGAAATTAACACTGGAAATCCAGGTGACAACTGAATTTGCAAACATTTTCCAAAGTTAATGATTAGGTAGCAGAGGGTGTTTGCGAGGAATACCTGTGAAGTGATAGTATAAAGCAATCTGGTAACATCAGTTTAAATTATTAAATTGTTGCGAGTTGAAATTCTTGTTGAAATGTCACAAGCTCAGTAGAAAAGTGTATCATTTATGAAATGAAAAAAAAATAATCCAACCGAAGCCTCAAGTAAAATAGAAGTAAATTAATAAGTCCCACAAGAAAAAAATTCTTACTTGGTAGATCCAAATGAAAATGAGAACACTATTGGACAACTCACTATTTTGTTGTGGAACAGCAAAAACACATTAAGAAAAGAGTAAGATTTAGAATGAAATAGTTATAAGGGATAAAATTAGTAAAAATAAATAAGTAAAAAGAAGTAAGAGTTGTTACAAAAGTAAAATAATGATATTTGAGAATAGTAAAGATATTTATTATCCGGCCATTTCAAAATTTAAACCCTTCGGGCTTGATTATTTCTTTAATCTCTACTAAAAGGATGCATATATTTAATTATGAAATTTATTCCCTCCATTACACTCCATTATTAGTGCTAATTTCATAATTCTAACAAATTATATTTATAATCATTATATATATGTAAACAACTTTATTACAACACTATAAAGTCAAATGTCATTGTCAAATAAACCCCATCGCCTCTTCTTTTTGTCATAGCAATCTTCCTATCTGAGTCCTCTAGCTACCATAGCCTCATCTGTATCTTCCATCCACCTCTTTTCGAGTCGACCTCTTTATCCTTTTCCATAGTATATTTAGTGTGTTTTTAAGTCATTACTAATACAACATTCTCATGTCCATCATACAGCATTCATGTGCCCAAACCAACTCAGCTTTTTTGCCACAATGGAGTATTGCATGTTAAGGGGTTCTTTTACTGTTTCCCTGATGGTGTTATTTAGAATATGTTGTCTAGATATTCTACTTCTACAACTCCAAAAATTCATTTCCATTGGTAAAAGTTTTTTTGCAGAGTGTTAAAATTGTACAGATTGCTGAGGTACATAGAACAGTACTTATAACAATGAATGGTAGACTTTCAATTGGCGCTTGATGTCCTCGTTATAGAGAACAGAATTTAAAGTCCATATGTCTTTTCTTTTTTTATTTTTTTATTCTCAGCTGTTGGACTATATGTGGTTTTCCCAGCCAGGGCTGAGTGTGGGGAATTAATGCCAGAGTTAAAAGCCTCCTGGCCATCGGGACACGAACTCGTGATTATTCTATCAAATTATCTTTGATCCAGGTTACCTGGAAATGTCAGTGCTGTGCACGCACATTAGCCCGCACAGCCACTCTGCACCTCTCCCTCTCCCCCCATATGACCTTTCTACCTTTGATGACACTTTTATCAATACCCTTCAAAAGCCATCTACTAAAATATTTTAATTGCTCAGTTGGGATCAAATCCTATTCCTCAACTTTTAAAAAGTTACCTAAACTTTACGTCACCATTTATCATAATTATATAAAAGAAATTTTAGCATACCATCAAAGTGTTTTACTCTACATTGGTAGTATGCTATAATTTGTTCATTTCTGTCTATTTCACTCAAAAACTCATTATTTTGTAAAACTGCTTCAGGCTTCTCCATTATTTTGCTTGATCTTTTGGCTTTTTCATGTTTAATTTATCCTGAAAATTCTGAGGAGGTAATAATGATGTCATGTTTATCTCGAAATAGAAACAGAACACTGTTATAGCTTCTTAAAAAATTACCAGAAAAAAAAGGATAACAAAAACTCCATCCAAAATACATCATAAAATCAAGGCAACTCAAAACAAACTGTGCATCTGAATTATCAGGGCTTTAATGAGAGCATTAAATAAAAATAAGATAAACATAGCTGTGTACAAGTCATCAACACAACTTTGTAAACAAAGCAGTCCCTTGATATGAATGGTCAGATCACCTGCCTCAGCCAAGAGGTTGGGGATGACATGTAAGTTCCTTGAACGTGTTAATAAGTAGAATTTGAAATAATAATATTATTCATTTAGAAAAGGAAATTATATTTAAAAAAACGTAAGATATCAATAGTATTGAAATCAATTAAGAATTTATTTTATCAAATAAACTCCTTTGTAATGTGGAACTTCGCTACCCAATTTTTAATCAAAATAAAGTTCTAAAATACTATAACGTTTGTTGATATCGGAATATCTATTCAAAAACATTGAACAATTGAAGTTAATTTTAAATTTATTAGGTTGCTGAATATTGAAATTTTGTACTTGAAATAATAAGTTGTACCAATTATTATGATGAATAATGCTTAGTTATGTTTATCAAAAGGAAGAATAAGTTGGGAATCATTATTTCCATAATAAGAAAAAATAATTAATAAATAACTTTTTTTTTCTCTCACTTGATTCTGAATTTTTCTCCTTTGGTATCAAACGATTTAGATCTCATTTTATTCCCTTCTTTGAAAAAAATTAAATAATGAATATGTCTTAAGTTGTGTATATTCTAAATGAATAAGCGGTTCACAAGGGCTCAGAGTATTTAGAAGGCAATGTGCAGTTAGATGGCAGCTAGTGGCCAGTTTCTCAAGAGGAAGATAGCTAGAAGTATTTGCTAGCTCATCTAACAAAGATTAACTAGATAGAGAAGTGATAATTCTAATGTATTAAAAATATGCTGCGAAATATCTTGCTTGGTACAATGCCTTGTGGTAGTTTCAGACTTAGAACAGTTAGACTGCCTTGATATCTTTCTATATTGAAAATCATCTAAATTTCAGTTTCTCTCTCAGAATATAATATAATATTATATTTGTTAATTCTTCTGTGATTCCCTTTTTAAATGTTTCAAATTTGATATAGTCTAAACACTTTACATACTCAGTTACATTTCTATCACTATTATACTTATATATATATAAATATATTGCTATTCAATTATATTTATTTTATATATAGCCTGGTCTAACCAATTAATATTATTCGTCCATAAAGTTTTTTTAATTTACTTATAAATATATATATATTATTATCCAACTAAAAACTAAATAACACAAAATTGTTTATACAAGATTATAGATTGCAGCATTCTTCTTAAGAAATAAAAGTTTTAATTTTGAAGTGAGTGAGGTTGATAACTGTATTATAAACATTTTCTGATTTGTGCTGCATATTGTTGATCTAAATCGAGTAGTATATTAGACATAATTCTAAAGAAGGAACAAATTTATATCTTACTTCTAAAACCTAAATGTTTGATTTTCGCTTGAAATTAGAGATGAGAAAAAGAAACTCTATTTCTATTAGAGAGACAAAAAAAATGCCTTGTCCTATGACAAGGCAGAAAGAGAGATAGAGGTAAAATTGTTGCTCCTCTTGTTTCTTTTTTGTTATTTAAAATATTAAATACTACATTCATTTTTTAATAGTGGAAGCCTAGTAGTAAGTATAATTTTCTTTTTGTAGATCTCTCCCAGGAGAACCGATTGATGTTTCCATCAACGAATCCCAACAAGTGAAGGAACTGGCCGAAATGGGAATAGAGACTCTTGATGAATTGGATGAAGATGATAACAAGAGGATATTAACCAATGTTATCAGTGCTACAAAGAAGGTTATTAACTGATAATTCTATCCATTTTCCTACTTATGGTGCCCTAAATTTCTTCTGTTTATAAATCTAAGGCTATTTGATCAACCTAACTTTTTTGCTTTTATAACATAAACATTTTAAAGGGCATTTTGGCCAGGACTAGAGCAAATTTCAGGTCTTATTTTATATATTTATAGCCAATCTATATATCCCATTTTCTTCATTTCTTTTAGCTATGGTAAAACAAGATTGCCATGTATTCAAACCGTGTCGTTAGACTCCAGAATGCTAAAGTTTATGCTTTGACACACTCAGCCATCATGACCTCAAAAAAATCTTCTCCATATCAAATAGTATACTAAGGTGGTTCTGCTCCTTGTCTCACAGATCCCAAACAGTCATTCCCAATAAAACTCTTTCCTCCCCCCCTCTTACTAACTTGTGGTGTTCCGCAGTGATCTTCAGTTTTCCAACTCTTTTCTCCATCTATATTAACAACCTTCCTGGTTCCATCCTACTGAGATGCTTGAGGCATTCATTGGACCACAAGAAGATATAGACAGGTATAAGCTTTGGGCAGGAAGTAATAATTTGAGGTTGAACTTTGAGAAGAACAAAGCCATTCTGATTGGTTCCAAGCAATTTATTAATTCCATTCCTTATTATCCCCTACTCTACCTTAATGAATTACTTATTTGCTTCCAGTCTTTTTATAGAAATCTTGGAATAATATTTGATTAATACCTGTCCGGGAATAATCATATGTCCCAAATTATCTGAAAATCTATTGGTATCCTCAAACAATCCTTTATGCCTCTTAAAACGCACCAGCTCATAGTTTCCTTTCTCAGTTTTTCCAACTTCAATTATGGTTGACTTGTATATGATGGACTGTCTGAATTTTCCTTAATGTAGGTTTAAACATGGTTATCAGTTAACACAAAACAGTTATTTGTACATCATGTTTTGTTAAAAAGAAAATTAATCTTGTGAAAAAAGTGTATATAGGATTTCCTTTGAATCTGGATATTCTGTGACCTGCATGGAATACCGTCCCATCTAGTCTGGATTAGCAAGATTCTACTTTAATACTAAAAATTATTTTATTATCTTAGTTTCTACTACTATTAGCATGATCTTCCACCATTTGGTGTTGGAGAGACATCTTTAAAAATTTCTCTTAAAATTGTATTAATCTGTAATAATTATTTTATCGAATATTTGATTAACTTATTCTTTTCTTTTCTAGCTTGTGAATGGAATTATGTATGTCATAACAGCAGAAGTTAAAACAACGTCTTGCAAAGAAAAAGAAAGTGTCAATGAAAATTGCTTGACTGAAGAAGTAGGACCGTTGAAGATTTGTAAACTTCATATTTATAGATCTTTTGCAGATAAGTCTCCTTATAATGCCAAAGTATGTTATTACAATTTTTTTTGAAAATTATATTAAAATAAGTAAATTATATATACTTTTCCCTTATGGCTTCTTCACCTTCTTTTTTATTCTTCTCCTTCCTTACCTTTTTGGCTATAGGGGAGTTTTCCCGGGTCAGGGGAGAAGGCGGTCGATTAAAGCCAAACTTGAAAATTCTCCAGGCACCGGTACGCGAACTTGTAATTATTTTATCATGATAAATCTGTTTATCAGATTGCAAGGTAACGCTTGTTTTTCACAGGCATTGGCATTCTCAGTCACCCCCCTTCCTTGGCTTCTTCACCTATTACCAGAATAGTTGCTGGGGACTGATTTACTTTACGGTACTTCAGGTTGGTTGATGAGATACAAGTTTCGTCAAAAAGCAAACATCTTGTTTCTATTAATCAAGTCTTGTACACTATAAGAAAATCATGACCAACAAACTACCGCTTCTTTAATCGAGATTTGGTGAGCATTTACTGGAGACAACCCGACTCATTGAACTGGTTAACCCTAAGGCTGCTGGTGACTGGTGCTAAAAATAATTATAAATTCAGATTGTTAAAGTTATTTTTTATAAATAGAAATAAATTCAACTTCCATTCAATGTAGGTTACAAAGAAAAAAAAAACATTATATGTTGAGCATTCCAAAAAGCTTATAGTTAGCCTCTGAAAACAATTTAACCAAAATTATCCTCTTCAGTAATGAAATTCCTTAAAACAATAAATTGGAGCAGTATTAGGAAAGATTATTATTATTAATCTGTTTAGTCCCTTAGGTGGGACATTCTCTTGCAAGCTCCTTCATTCCAGACCAAATATTTCCAGCATTGCACATCTCCTTCTCTAGAGGCCGCTCAAGCTTTTGCTATCCGTGGGAGCTTCACTCTAGACTTAATTGAATTATGTCATTATGCTCCTTTCTATATGAGCACCTTAGTCATCTCCATTTCTGACATTTATTGGCCTGATCTATTGAGGCTTAATTAACTCGCTACTAGAGTATTGGAAACTGTTTCAGGCCACTATACTCACAATATGTTCCGCAGACATCTATTAATGATTGTCTAAAGCTTCTTGATCTCCCGCTTGTTGACTTTCTTGATCTCACAAGTATCATCTCATAAGTATTAGCATAACGTTAGTATTGAAGATGTGAAGCTTGGCCGCTCTTCAGATTTCTTGTGATTTGCGCACTGGCCAGAGCTGCAAAAAAGCCTCTTATTAACCAGCCACCATCTTGACTCTCCATACTGCCAGGGTAACAGAGCTTACTAACCATTTCAGTAATTTGATCTTCTATAAACTTCAACATTTTATAAGCCAAGATACAGTGTAACTTGGTACCTATAATTGTAAATTAAATGTATTCTTTGTAGGTTACAATGTAAACCTTTGCCCTTTAATTAAGTTTCTCGAATAACTGCAACACTAAAAATCTTCTAAACGTTCCTGATGCTTATTTGAAAGATGATTAAATTATCTAAAAAGCCAAACTTCAAATTATAAAATATATAAGTTTAAAAATTATTAATAAGAAAATCTTAATCATACCAATGTTACCGAAGAAACAGCAGACAATACTTTCACCTAAAGCAGCACGGAAAGTCATGTGAGTGGAAACACTTGATATTTACTTATAAATTGACGTTTATTCTTGTGAAAGTAATCACTTGGCAGTTTTTAATACACTTTTTTTTTGGTTTTACCTACGTACATGTAAATACATCTTCCAATGATTGTAGCATGGGTACCTATGTAACTCAAATGGTTTCATTTTTCTTTGGCCCTCAATTACAGTTTGGGTTTACTTTATTTCATCATTTCATAACATTAAAATTATTCTGTTAATAATTTTCTATCAAGTCTAAAAAATTTTAGGTAGTTAAAAGCGAATGTGCTTCTGCGAAGAAGGAACGATCTCTTGAGAAAAAAGTTGATAATGCTGATTATTTAAATCGCTTAGCGAAAATTGCCATTAAGAGAATTAATGCTGGTATCAACTCTATTGTTGTTCTTGGACTTGCTAATGTACTTGAATCTGATAACGAGGTTAGTAAATCCTTTTGTTAACAAAAATAATTAATAATTAAATTTACAACTTAAGTGATCTGTTTGTTTTGATTAAACTTTTTATTCATAAAAAAAAATTAGAGAATCTTATGTTTATCTTAAAAAAAATTAGAGAATCTTATGTCTATCTTGATGTATTTTTTTTTTTCTATATCGTTCTTTTGAAGGAATAGGGCAAACAAATTAGAAAACTGCAACTTAACTAGAAATATTATAGCATTTTGTCTGTTCAAGTTATTAATACCTCTCAACTGACTGATTGAAGAAGTTGTACATTTATTTACTCACTACTATTATTTTATTTATTTAAAAAAAAAGTTAATTTTCATTTTTTTATCATTTAAACATGAATCATGAATAGTGTCAGTTTATTTATTTATTTTTTAAAATTCAAAAACCAGTGTAAGAGTTTTTAAATAAAAAGGCATATTTTTTATTTTTAAAAAATTAATAAATGTTAAGTTGAAGTTGAAAATAAAAGCCAAGTCAATTTTTTTTTTATACAAAATAGTATTTTTCATCATTAATAATGATTTTTTCATTATTTTTTGTACAGAAGAAAAATTGGTAGTTTTGGTCACAAGAATGATATTCTTTTTTTTTTTTTTTTTTAAACTTTTATTATGATATTTACAACTGTATTAGTATGAATACATCTAGTAAATTTGTACAGAGAAATATTATTACATGAAACACTCTTGTTGAGAAACTACCCACTGGTAGCACTCTAAATATTCTTAAAACATTAAAAAATAATTGGTTCTTATGTATGTCAAGACATAAAGTTACTCTTTTATTATAGTTTTGTGGATAAATTGTCTAGTGATCGTCTAGACAATGAATGCCAAAAAAGGGTCTGTTGAGTGCATGGAGGATGGACAAGCAATTGATTTCGGGAAATTGTTGAGGGCACTTAGTAGGTAAACATAGTAAAATTCCCCGCCCCTACCTCTTTTGCTTCATGGTGGGGGCAAAGGTCACTTTTTTCCAGATTTTCTCATATATATTGAAAGGAATGGTCGTAGATAAAACATTGCCCTATAACTAATAAGAGCTGATAAAATTTCCTTCAAGAAAGTTCGTATTTATTTCTTACTTATCTTTTATAGTTTTCGAGATATTTACTAACTTAAATTGGTTATTATCAAAAAATTGATTTCCGACTCAAATTTTTGTCAAACTTGTCTCTTTAACAGCATGCTTTTCGTTCTACCAGAAAATTATCAGAGAGAAAATTGTAGATTATATTTTTTTCTTTAAATGTAAATATCATTTATTAGTTTATCATTTACGAGTCTAAAATTATATCAATTTTTAATATTTTGATAAATTTCGTCAATGCATATGAGAAAATGTAATTTGTTTATTTTTGAGCATGAATGTCCACATCCATTCTTATTACACACAATGGGTGTGTGTATAGTATAAGTTAATCAAATATATATATATATATATATATATATATATATATATATATATATATATATATATATATATATATAAAATCAGAATTGCTGTAATTGATTATTTTTTACAACACTCCAATTTCATCTCATGAAACCACTATTTGACATATTTTCGTGAATACTATACCAAAACACTATTGATTTTAATGAAAAATATATTTATTTATGAAAAAGGTAACATTAGAAAAAATCTATCTTTTACATACTAACATACATTTTGAGAAAATGTAAAGAAAAGAAGTTTGTGAAATTTGTACCACTTTTATGTGGTAAAAATATTATTATTAAGTTGACTGTCTAAACATTATAATTTAATGTGAAATTAAATGTAAAAATAGAAAGTTTGATGGTTTCAGAAATAACAATTTTATGGTAGATTTCAATAAATTAAAAACCGGAAAGAAAGTTATTGTACAACATACAGACAAAAAATTCATTTATTTAAACTATATAAATCAAATAAATTCACTAATAGAAGTATTAAAATACATAGTTCATTGACCAACTTCTTTTGGGACTAGAAAGTTCAGCTTTTCACCAAAGAAATGGAAATTAATTTAAGTCTTTAATCATGTTTTAAACAAAAATGTTTAAAAATTACAATAAGCTGTATCTTTGCCAATAATATTCCGAATTCGATAATTGTTTTTTAGGGAATTCAGTAATCTTTTAAATAATCAGGGGTGTAATCTTTTTGTTAAAGCATTCACGAAAATATATCATATAGTGGTTTCATGAGATGAACTGGGACAAATTGTTGTAAAAAATAATCAATTACAGCAATTCTAGTTATATATATATATATATATATATATATATATATATATATATATATATATATATATATATATATATATATAGCTACACCACTCCCATATATAGTATATAGCAATTTTAATTATTTATATATATATATATATATATATATATATATATATATATATATATATATATATATATATATATATATATATATATATATATATATATAAATAAATAAATAATTAAAATTGCTATATACTATATATGGGAGTGGTGTAGCTCAGTGGTAGGGCACTGAGCTTCCAATGCAAAGGTCCCAGGTTCGAACCCCGGTTCATGGCAGAAAATTTATTTATCTGTTTCATTAGCCGTGGGGCGACCTTGGGTGGGGAGACCCTCCTGGGGCACACCCAGCCTCTATAAGGTGGGTACCCTTTAATTAAATAATTAATTAAGGGGAAAAACCTGGCGGTTGAGTGTGATCTCGGTCAAATCACCTCTTTGCACAACTGTTGACCTAGAAACAGTGCTTTCCCTAAATAGTACTGAACCCCAGACCCTTCATGGGTTGTAGTGGTACAGGTTTTTTTTTTTATTTTTATATGCTATATATACTCATATGTATTGACAAAATTGATCAAAATATTAGAAATTGATGTAACTTTAGACTCATAAATGATAAACTAATAAATGATATATACATTTAAAGCAAAAACTGTATTCTACAATTTTCTTTCAGAAGATTTTCTTGTGGAACGAAAAGCCGTGCTGTTAAAAAGACAAGTTTGACAAAAAACGTGAGTCGAAAACAAATAACCAATTTGTTAGCAAATATCTCGAAAACTATAAAAGATACGAAATAAATAAATCTGAACTTTCTTAAAGGAAATTTTATCAGTTTTAATTTTTTATACAAAAATGTTTCATTTTAAACCATTCATTTTCAAGATATATGAGAAAATCTAGAAAAAGTGACTTTTGCGGCACCCCTCCTCTCCCCCCCACTATGAAGCAGAAGGATAAAAGGGTGGGGACTTTTATTATGTTTACCTCCTAAGTGTCCCCAACAAATTCCCGAAGTCAATTGCTTGTCCATCCCCCATTCATTATCTACAACCCCTTCGTTGAGTGGACTATTAATTTAGAAATAACAATTGCAAAAGAAAAGCTAATATAAATTGTTATTGCAGTAAGTATTTAAGTAAAGTCCTGACATATTTTCTTAAACATATATGTTAAATGGAATGTTTTCAACATTACCAAAAATAAAAAGGTAATAATAATGAGAAAAAGTTCTATATTTTGGTGCTCTTCTTCTTCTAAATGATATGATATTGGCTTTATGTTTTTAAAAATATTGTTTAAGTTAAGTTGACCTCATTGATGTCAAAATTAATATATTTGTATGTAATGACATTTTAATTTTTTTTAACTGGAGTTGTCACATTTTAATTTTATATATATTTATTCATTTACTTGATATTTATTGGTATTTTATAGTATGAGTCGGGAATTCATAAAACTTTGCTTACTCTTGAACTCGGTAATACCAACTGTACAAAACAGAAGCATTATGATGAATCTGATTGTTTCTTGCTTCCTGATTTAAAGGTATTATTTTTTTCCCCTTTTATTTATTATAGTTAATATGTTCTCACCATAATAAAGAGTTATTTAACTTTCTTCTAGAATCACATGGTTTGCTCTGTTGGAGTTAATCATAATACTGAAAATGATCAAATACAAGTAGATAATTTTTCATGTAAGAACGTTGAAAGAGACCTGACACTTAGCAATCGAGCGAGAAGGGTATGTAATTTTTGTTATATTATGCAAATAATATTAAGAAAAATATAAAATGTTTGCGTTGCCTGGGTGCTTTTTTCTTAATTTAATTTAATATACTAGTCCAACTTCATCCATTTTAGGTCTAGTCTTGCTATAAAACAAGAGATATACGCAACTAGGAACCAACCAATGATTTTTTAATTGTGTTTTATAAGCTTCATAAATCATACATTCGAGAATTTCATTTTGCTACAAAATCCTAGAAATAATAGTATTTCTCCATATGAATATTTGACATGAATAATTTTGGGTTTGAACATGACTTCATAAAAACATTGGTTTGTTTCTGATTCCCATATATGGGTTCAATTATACTGAAAAATTAGAGTAATTGGTTACCATTAGAGACCGGATTTCCCTGTTATTGCACATTTTATTCGCTTACGAGTAAAAACTCCGGACCCGAATATCTATCCATTTTAAGATCTGTGGAATAACATGCTAAAATTTTATATTGCACGAAATTGCATGATTTTTATTTTTTTTTACATTAAATTGCACATTTTGTGCTAGATTAATTGATTTATAAGTATAAATATATATGTGTGTGTAAATATTTCCTTTTTTATTTTACAATGTTGTTCATTTTCAATTTGTAATTAAGAAAAAATAAATATGAGGAAGATAATTGATTCTGTGACTGGCAAAAATTAGAATTTAAAGTTACAAAAGAACAAAATAAACACAAGTGTAGACAGTCTATCCCTGGAATACAACTTGCCTGAAGTAATTCAATAAAAAAACTGCTTTCCTTGTTTTGACTTGGATTCTCATTCTTTCTTAAGACCTTCAGTATCCCTTCCGGCTTTGAATCGTAGACTATTATAAATTCGGCATCAATTAAAATTTTATTCCGTAATAGAAAAAAAATACAACTTACACTCTTATAAAAAAAATATAACAACCACATATTTAATTATTAATTAGACCTTCCTGTATTTGTTTTGTTGATTATCTTTAAATTTTCTATTATTTATGTTAGTCCTTATGTTTTTTTTTAATTTCTCTTTCTTCACGATTTAGGTTAATCGTAATTTATTTTGTATTAAAGTATATATTCTAGTCGTTAGTTGATTGTAATATGGATTTTTAATATTTCATTTTATTGTTAGTTTTGCTGTGACCAAATTAATTCAGAAGCTTACCATAAAGTTTGGTAGGATTTCTACATATTAATATTATAGATCAACAAAACAGATGATTTTTGCACGTTTTAGGTTTAAATTAGACAAATTTATACATTTCGAGTTTTTACTGCACAATTTTGCATGTTTTTAGTTTTTTGCTGCACGTTTTTTGGATTTTTACTGCACGAAGATCCGGTCTCTAGTTATCATGTATAAAAATAAATTTAAATCTAAAAGTTTTTTAACACTTTCATTTGACTTGAGCCAGCTATTAAATATCAAAACTCGATAATTTATCAAAATATTTGTTTACAGTCATGAAAGAAATTTACTATGAAATCCTCCTCACTATTCTTTTAAAATGTTATTTTTGTTTAGTTAATTATAGCTAAATATATAATTTTACCGTAAGGAAGGTAATCAGATTTTATGGGTTTCTCATTTTCTTGTTTTATGAAATAATTTATATTATATATTCATTGTGAAATTTAGTGATAATTAATGAATTTTTATTTTATAATTGAAAAGAGTAGGTTTCATATTTTCTGAAACAATTTAAAAATTAAGGAACAACAAAGGGATAATAGTGAATAATCAAGTTACGTTTTTTTAGACAATAAATTTAAGTAAAATTAATATATAGATGTATGTTCCTTGCTAAAGATTTTTGTAAATGAATTCTTTAATGCCACACCAGGGCTTATGCCAACAAAAAAATGGCTGTTTTGAATTGGGTTGTTTTATATGCTATTTAAGTTAGTAGGTAGCATGTTGAACAATTTTTGACTTTCGCTTCAAGGAAGAAACACTTATTGTCAAAGTATATTCAACACCACTCCACCTATTTAAGCATGATATTTAAATATAAAGTAGCAATTCAGAAAAAAATATATGAATTTAGTCTTTTACAGATTAAATATTATTCTTTTTTTACTCTATTATTTTATTTATTTGATTAAAAGTAATTGTTGGTAATTATATGTTTGAAATTAAGTTTCATTATTTTTTAAAAATCTTATATTTAATTTTATAAATTCATGGAAATTAAAAATGTTTTTGTATTATTGAAATAGGCATTAGTTGGTGGTATGAGACCATTGGATTTAGAAGCTGAAAATGTTGATAGTATCAAGAATTTTATCAATTCTGAGCTCAACAAAAACTCTAACTCAATGTACCATAAAGCTGTAGTAAAAATAATTTCAGGATCATTGCAGGTATTGAAATATTTTAAACTTTAGTTCATGATAATTATTCATATCCTAGAAATAAAATAATAACGTATTCACTACTACATCAAAATAGCTAATAATTTAGTAGCCTATTATATTAACTAAATTTTTACTTGATAACTTACGTGCTTTACCTATAAAGCCAGGTGCAAGTTGAGACACAGCTTGGGGAACGGATGTCACAATGGGAAGCAGTATTAAATACAGGAAATCGGAATTAAATCGACTGTGAGGAGTGTTCCTTCGGCTATGAGTGAAAGTTAAACTGCAATTTTTCTTGACTGCAGACCTCTGTATTGTTAATTTAACTTTTTCAAATGGGTGGGATTATTGATTTTTTTATCATTCATTCCGATGATGTGAAAAACAGGATTATTAACTCATTACTTCATAAAATAAAATCAAGAACTAATTACTTCAATAAAAGAAAGACGCATCGACAATTTGTCCTAAAAGACTAATTTTGTGATGATAAATATGAAAATTATTATTTTATTTATAATAAATTTATAGCTGCTGACTGAATGTCCAGTTCTATCGAATGTGAAGAAAATTCTGATGTATTTTTAAGGTGAGAAGTTTATTCATTTACTGTAAATCACCTTTTAAATATCTAGAAAGTAATAGCATTTTTCGGTGCAAGAATAAATGATTAATTTATAAACTTCACAGTTTTCTGACCGATTTCTTTGACAACTTTTTCCCAAATCTGACACTTCAATTTCACTTTTAAATAGTCACCATGTGAATGGTCATACGAAAGATTTCTCCTAATTACTTCAATTAATTTTCATCTTAATAGTGTGAATGTGATCTCACTTCCCTTTAATCATTGTCCAAGTGACAGAATATTATATTATTCAACAAATAAATAATAACTTTTTTCTCCATCATTTACTTCACCTGCGATCCTCAGTTTGGAGTCGCTGACAGACACAAACATCCGCAGCACACGGAGTTTGAGCTTAATCCGGTGTGAGCTCATCTTGCAGCCCAAAGTTTGCTGTTCCATTCTATTCTACGTTTTACAGAATTAGATCCACACACCCAACTGCGGCTCAACTTGTGCCGGGCCTAACTGTTTCATCGGAATTATTAATATTTAGTTTCATAAATCATCACAATTTAGTTTGTGAGTATCTTGGGTTTGCAGATACTTCTTAACTAAATTGTCAATATGGTATTCATTGGTGTATCTGTATATATAAAATGCATTTTCTTTTATTTATTTGTTTAAACACTTTCAAATGAATATTTTCAAAACCCTCTCGTAAATTGTAAAATATTGATTTAGTTATGTGATTAATTATTATAATTTTATTTAGGTGGCTTCTGGAAAAAACTATAAATTACTTGTAGAAATAGCTGATACCAGTTGTCTAAAGGATGAAGACAGAAACAACAAGGAATGCGATCTTCAAGAAGAGGTAATTTTCAAATGATCCTCTTTCTCCTTATGTCCAATATCAATTTAATCTTGTAATATATGCCTAAATTTGCAAATAATATTAAAGTTAAGATAAAAAAAAAAAAAGCGAGTTTCAACTTAATGCTGCATGAGTTTGTTCTTGGGCTTTCAGCTAATTGTGGTTTGGATATAATATATAAATTTGACTATGGATCTAAAAATGATTAGTAATTTAATAAATATATTCTTACATTTTTCAAACAGTCTTTATAAATTACAGCAAAATTAAATTTAACAATTTATTAATTATATTTATTCAATTTAAAATATTGCTCTAAATTACGATCCTCACTAGTGGACTTGTATTTTACACAAATAAAATTATACTTGATCACTTTACAATATATGTAAAATAAATTCAAAGATACTATTAAACACTTGTTGACGAAACAATGTTATATTAACACTGGTAAGGTATATACTGTTATCTTAACATTAAATTTCTTCATAAAGAGCTAACTTTAAACACAAACTGGCTAATTGATTCTGTAATAGACACTCCCTACTGATTGATGACCTCTTGCCTATGTAATCTCATTACATACTGACTTGTTGATCAATACTGTTTCCTTATATACATCGGTGGTATCTAGATATTTTTGATATTCACTGTATTTATTATTTTTGATATACAAAACCATTATATTATAATGTTATAAAAATTAAACTTCTTTAAATTGATTACCTTATTATTAGTGATAAAAAATTAATGTTCGTAATAATTAGATTTCAGTAAATACAGAGAAAATTGCTGAAATATATATTGAAAACCTATCATTATTTGTTGATTTACCTGACATCTACAAGTATAATATTTGGGCTTAATTAATTGTAGTTAATAATTCGTCTGTACTCTAAAAGAAGTTGAAATCTCCAAACCTAATTTTTTGTACTTAGTAAGATAGTTTCCTCATATTAATATTTTTTGCCTTGTAGTTCTATCCCTCAAATATATCTTTAAGTGACCCAAATGTTAATACATTAAAAATCTTCTGGAAGAACTCTGAGCTGTATGGAGTGTTAAAAAACCTTCCAGGTTAAGTGTCTACCATAATACCAAAAGGACCTCTGCTTACTGGTTGGAATTGATTACTGTTAATTGATTGAATTCAAATTAATATTAATATTTGTTGATAAAAAAAGATCCAAATCCACTAAAAAGAACCCCTTGCTTGATGTTTCCAAACTTAACTGTAAAGGACGTTGGGTGTTTGTTTATTTTTTATCAAAAGTAAGTCCAGCAATCTTACTGTAATTAAAGCTATAATTACCACTAATAATATCAAAAGTCTGGTGTTTGGTTAACCTCACGTAAGTATGTTTACAGAAGATAGTTGAAGACAGAAGGTAGTTGTTACGAAAACTGTTCCTAAAGTGGAGCTTCTGTGCATACACACTTTGGGGAGCCTATAGCTTTAAATGGTCGAGTCATTGAAATCTCCTCTCCCTCCTATCGCTGCTTCTCTCAGTGGAACTCGGGAATGAAATTCTTCTTTATATTTTTTTTGTCCTCATAAATCTATTTGTATTTTAATTCTTTTTCTTAATTTTTAAAGATCAAATTATATTAAAATATCTTGCATATCATCTGTTCTTGATGCCAAATTGTTTTATATTTTGCTAAGTTATCTTTTAATTTAGGGAAGACTGCTTTGCCAGCTTACAGTTTGGGAAAGGCCTTGGCTGATGAAAATGGACTTAACAAGCACCAAATGTGATCCTATCCACACAGTCATGGTAATCTTAGTAATTTAATCTTTTTATTTTAATATTGTATCACAACTTTAATATGATTTTGTATTATATATGGGCCTTTTTAGCTATGAAATATTAATTAATTAAAATTAAGTGTTTTCATTAGGAATAGAAATTCAAGGTAGATAGTATAAAGTCATAAAGTATTTGTTATTAATAATATAACTATTTTTTATGACTTGTTGATTAAAATATGTATTTTTCTTGAAATAACCTTGAAAATTCAGAGAGTTTCATATAAAGGATCCGGTAAACACCCTGTTGCTTAGTATTTTCATTACATTAGAAGTATGAAGTATACTTCAGAGAGATTTATTTCCATGGTCCTGCATCCCAGTTTGGGCTTCACCTACTAAATTAGTGTTACACATTTATGTGATCATTTTTGTGAAAATTTTACAACTTCAATATATTTTCAGCCTTTGAAGAAGTTACCAATAATTTATTCAGTCATAGGGTAGTTGATCTACCAGAATAATGATATATATATATATATATATATATATATATATATATATATATAATTTTATTTACGCATTTTCAATTGATTAGAGTTGAAATTAGAGAAAAAAAAAGAAAGAGGTATTTTCCATGTTTAGGAGTGTGCCAGTTTATTTCTTGATATTCTCACATACCATTGTAGTAGGATTTGAAATGAGAAGTCTGCTCACTAACTTTTCTTGTTCCTGTTAGCGCACAATAGAATATCACAAGTTGTTATTGTAACAAAAAAATATAACAGAAATCTCTTATTAACTATTACATGTTTTATTTTTAGAATATTTCTCAGTCGGCTGAGTTGTTGGGTGTTGATGTGCAAGACAAAGATTATATTAAATTTAAATTTTTCACTAAGAAGTTTCAACGATTATATAAAACAACTGATGAGCTTAAGAAAAGATTCAGAATTTTCAGAGCGAATATGAAGAAAGCTGATTACTTACAAAAAACTGAACAAGGAACTGCTAAATATGGTGTGACAATATTTTCAGATTTATCAAGTGAGTATATTTAAATAAAGGTATTTTAATCTTAGTATGTTGTTGAAGCCATTGTACAAAAAGTTTTAGGGTATCTTCTTCTAACGTCTATTCCACCGAAACGTTTTACTCATTGTAAGGTATTAAGAAAGATTATGAAAATGTCTAATAATAAGACTTCTTGGTTACAACATTATCACTGCTGAGATACTTCGTGAAATCCCCTAAAAAATCTTTCTTATTTCCCACAAATGTGTACGATGTTGTCTTTAATATATATATATATATATATATATATATTGATGATATCTAAACCTAACAAAAACAAGCATTGACCTGATTCTTATAGATCTATTAGTCTACTGTATTCTGTATGATCCGAAATTCTGGAAAAGATGAACACATCTTTAATATATTGATAGAACACACCATGTTACCAGATCATCAGTTTGTATTCCGCACATTTCATTCCACTACACAATAGCGACTTAAAGTCACAGACTCGAACTGAAACTATATACCTCTGGGACTTGTTTAGACCTAACTCAAATGTTTGATAACATATAACACTGGAACAAATGCTTAAAATTTAGTTTTACAATCATTTCTCTTCTGTTTCTTTTTTGTCCGACAAAGCCCAGTGACCTCATAAGTAAAACCAATCTCTGCAGAAGTCCATAAAGATTCTATCTTGGCCCACTTCTGTAGATTCTAACTGACTTATACTAATAACACAGCATAAGTCATGCATTACAAGAAACACTCATTCCATTCATGCCTCTCTGACCTCACAACACAAGAAATGTAAAAAACGTAATGCTCAACCATGGCCAGTCATAACACATAACATTTAAACTACAATACAAAATTTGCCCTCAACAAATATAGTAACCTACTTGGTACTTATTTTTGACAAATATTGACTTGGAGCCCACACTTCAAGATAAAACGTTAAATGCTAAAACTTCTAATTGAAACTATTATATTCAATACTTACACAGAAGTTCTAAATTACTCCTCTACAAAATTTAACATTTAACATAGACTCAAAAAATACTAATCATCAGAAGAGATGTACTTACGACTTTATGTTTCAAATGAGATCCTTCACACCAACTGATGTGTTCTGATAGTGACAAATCACATACTTATTAATTAGAAATGGATTCATGACGAATTACTAGGACATATTAACAAATTAATATATCGTATGTCAAAATGACATTCTGGGTGTTCCTTGAAAATTATGAAAAGAAGCAGACATTAAAATTTTGCTGATTGTCAGGAGTTAGTTTCACAAGATGCTCTCTCCCTCATGCCTTATATAATGTACATAAATTCATTTGATGATGGTAAAAGTTTAAAAGTGCAAATAAGATATTCGATATTAAAAAAAAAAAAATGTGGTAAAATATATTACTCAAGTATTAGTAAAATTGAAAAGTACAATACATTTTATTGATACAATTTTTTGTCTGAATAGAAGAGAAAAATATTCATGTCTAGTTTCAACATTCGCAATATACAGCATATATATATATATATATATATATATATATATATATATATATATATATATATATATATACATATATATAATTAAATATTATATTATATGTGTGATCAGGTACAAAACAAACAGTAATTATATGTATGCAATTAAACAGTATTACATGTGTGATAATTTATTAAACACATTGTAATAATATATTTGTAATTGAATTCTACTTTATATTAACTGTATATGTTATTTTTGACTTTACCTCCAATTATCATCTTGAAAAATGATTCGTATTAACATAAATTATATGTTGATTTATGCTAACGTAAAGTAAAATTAAATAATTTATATTGATATTAAAAAATTGATACTAATCAGAATTTATAAAACATTTAATGCATTCCTTTAAGCATGTATAATTAAAAATGTGCATCTTTCAGCCAAGGAATTTAAAAAGAATTATCTGGGACTAAAGAAAAGAACATCTGATATGACATTTAATCAAGAAATAGCCCAAATTCCTAATATTACTTTGCCAGAAGAGTATGACTGGAGGAACTATAACGCTGTAACTCCTGTCAAGAATCAGGTTTGTTTCTCTGTTTTAATTTCATACTCCGGCCTATCTTGTAGTATAGAAAGAGATGGTAACATGAGACTCCATTTTGTTTTCAGTTTTCTGGTACCATTTGGCACCACAGAGTAAACAGGTTATACCAGACTCAAATTCACCACCAGTTAGTCTGAAGAGCTATCACTTGATTCATTAAGAAGTGGAACCTCATCATCGCTTGACAATTTTTCATTGATAATTTTTTTTCAACTTCTTTTTAGCTGTTTCTTTATCCTGCTTCATATCCTATTTCACCCCTTCTTCCTCATCAGTCAGTGACAATACTAGATTTCATAGATCACATCTTCATCCACAGCATTTGTTCTGAATTCCTGCTATAATTTTTTTTTTTTTATCTTCTCTGGAGCAATTCTTGAAGCAATCTTGCATCTAATTCGGCCTCGGTGGTTTGGAGGAAGTTGGTTATCCATTACATTGAATTGAGAGTTTAACAACATGTAAGTTGATACTGTTTGGAGGGTTTATCATCCATGGCTCAGGAACTTATAAAAGCTCAAAATGGATATGAAAAAGTTGGTACTGTTGAACCTTTGTTATATCCAACATAAAGATTACTTGTATATTATTGGTGCAAAGAAATTGTGATACATGAAAAGATGATTTACCATTAAAGAATGATTGTTTTAGAATATTTAATAGTTGATTCACAGTTTTGCATATGTTGACAAATTTCACTAGGTTTAACAACTCTATTGGTATATTCTTATTACTGTTCAAGACTTTTTTTTTCTCTATGCCTGTTGACTTCAACCTTTTAAGTCATGAGTATCTTCAGCAGCAAGAACTTGGGGCTGTTATAGGCGACAGTAGTGATCATTTGGTTCTCTCTTCTTCGAGATATCCTGGGCGCGTGTGGTTTACTAACCAGACGCGATCATATTTCACTCCCTCTCTGTGAGGAACTTCCCTGAAGGATGATTCACAATCTTCTGCTTTAATCATCCACCCAGTTTTGTATGGAATAGGAGATTATCAGTCCCTACTTGGAGGACCAGGATTTATGGTGTAAGACACAGGAGTCACTCACCTCCGTATGAATCTCAGGGTCCCTACTGTCTACTTCTTATGAATCTTACTGTCTCCATGCGGGAATCGAACCCACGCCATAGTGATCTAAGTAGTCGAGTAGTAGGGCCTGCACTTATTAATTTTAATTTATTAATAATTATTTTATAATTTTTTTTGGTGTTATTAATTCCTGCAAACGTGATTTAAACACTTGATATAAAGTTTTTGCAGGTGCCTTAACTCGCTCCACCATTTTGGCCCCTATTCAAGAATTTGTATTTGAGAAAACATTGTATAAGTTATGTATTCGAAATTGACTTTAATTTTCAAAATTAGTTGCATATTTTGTTAATTTTTTATTTAAAATGGTTTATTTGAAGTTTGTTAGAGCTTTACTAAGTTTAATAGTTTATCTTTATCATCATTGTATCTTTTAAACAAGTGAAATTTGTTGGATCAATTACTGAATGCGTAATTTTGAAATTTTAGAGCTTTATTCATAAGTAGAAGCTAGCATTTTATGTTTACATTAGTTGTTATTTCTGTTATATGTATTTGAAAGATATATTTTTTCTAGGGTATGTGTGGTTCTTGTTGGGCGTTTTCTGTTACTGGTAATATTGAAGGACAGTATGCTATTAAGACTGGGAATCTTGTTTCACTCTCTGAACAAGGTAATAAGACCTCTTTTTCTTTCTCTCTCTTTTTATTTTATTTTATTTTTTTAATGTAAGTATAGGAATAATATATAAATTTGAAATATTTTTACACTGGTTTGAATTTTATTTAATGCAGAACTGTGCATCGTATAGAATTCAGATTGTATTAAAATGTGTTTTGAATTATACTTACGTTATCTAAACTTAAAAATACAGCTATTAATGATTTGTATGCCCTCATTTTTAGATTGAGATATTTCTGTGAATCAAATAAACACATTCTAAATTTTTAATTTTTTAATTTATCCAATATGAAAGATACTATATTTTCTTAAAGTTCATAGGATACTTCAGGTGTGTCATGGTTTGAATTAGATAAATATTTAAACAAAAACTATAATTTTAAATAATGGTTAAGGAAATTATTTTAATATTACTTACAAAATTCTGATGTGTCCACTCACATGACACACCTTCTGATTTCAGAAAAGTTTTTATATATCTAAATATGTCCATTAAAAAAAAAAAAAAAAAAAAAAAAAATGAATTACATTTATTTTCCTGAAAGTTGATCCATGAAAAGATTTGAGTACAATTTCTTTGATAAACTAAAGCAATGTAAACAGGCTCGTGGAAGATCTTCATCAATACACTCTAATATTGGTAATCAAAAACTTTTTTGCCATAACCCAATTTAGTCAGACAATAATTTCTGTTAAAAGTAGTGGGGAAAGTGAAACTTGTGTGATGTGGCACCAGATTTTTTTTTTAATTTTCTTTTTTCTCTCACTTCTTTCTGGCACTGGGACTCGGACTCGTAATCTCACATACAAAATTGAACAGCTGTAAGTTCATTAATGTTGCCTGAAATAAACAACTTTTATATTGTTTTGTAGGGAATTTCATTACCTTTTAACAGGCTAAAAAGTGTTTTTCAAACTTCAAGGGGGCTCTGAAACATATAGATCTGTTGAATGCCACACATTGGAAATTTGACCCAATCGCAATACTTTCCTTACCTAGTATAGATAGGAAAGTAAAACAGTAAATTGAAAAATGAAAGATTTAATTGAATATTTAAAATATATAAATAAAAAAATATTGAAGTTATATACAAATATAAAGAGAAAAAACAAATAATGTAAGTGTGGGGATAAACTAATTGTAAGTCTATAAAATATCAGAGAAAAGATAACTATAAAAAAGTATCAAAAAGGTATGTACCATATGAAGTAATACAATTCATTATGTTTTCTAATTTCTCTGCTTCATTTAAGCATCTTATCTTGAACAGAAATGCTAGTTTTATAAAGCTAAATTTCTAAATCCATATCTATTGTCCGAAATCGTTCTACTCAAATTTTTCATTACTTGGACTTATTTCTTATTCTCATGAAATACAAGTTATTATTTAACATGTTTAAAATATTATTTCAGAGTTAGTTGATTGTGATAAATATGACGCCGGCTGTGAAGGAGGTTTATTCGAGTCAGCTTATCACGCGATAGAGGAATTGGGTGGCTTAGAGCTTGAAAAAGATTACCCCTATTCTGGACGGGATGACCAATGTCATTTCAACTCTTCAGAGGTTAGTCATTAAATTTATTACTTTGAATAGTTGTATATTATGTTGAATGAATAGTTGTATTTTTTATTGTTAATTTCCTTTTTTAATTGGTAAAGGAATATAATATATTTATATATACAGCGCAGTCTAATGATATGAAGCTGTGTTAATTCAAATTCAAGCTAATCCAAACCATTTTTTTAATTTTTTAAATAATGCTAGATTACAAAATGTAATGTAAAAAATTTGGCCTGCGCAACACACAACTTTCTCTTAACGCTCTACTTTGAATAGAAATTATTTTCTGGCAATGTTGGGCTAATATTAAATTTTTAAAAAGCATTTTTAACCAAGCAAAATCTTAAAGCTTACAGCTAACATATCATTTAACAAAAATCCTATTTATTATATCAACAGTTGATTATGGACTGTACGACTATTAGTTATTAAACTGTTGTACATTGCAAAGTATACTAAAATGAAATTGCTTGTCATAGATAGGTCAAAAGTTGTCACACCAATGGTAAGTGGATACTGTTCGGATATCACAAAGAGACAATTCATCAAATTATTCACTTATTTAATTTTCTAAAAGTTTACATGATGATTTTTCAGAATAAACAGACGATAGATACTTAATTATTTAAATATAATATCAGATCTAATGTTATTAAACTGCAGTAAGTGTATTTACTGTTGTAAACATATCCATGAAATATTTTTATATTTCACTTCTTACACACAAGTACAATGAAACAGTATTTTAAACAATGTCATTACCTTGATTCGGTGGATTTTAAATATTTTCTTTTCAAAATTAAAAAAAAATTGTTACAGTTAGTAATTGTTAAAGTTTATATTTAGTAAGAAAATTTCATTTAATTTTCATGAAAACATGTGATTTACGTTATATAATGTTAGTTTTCAGAAATTATTATTTATATTTTTTGTCACTCTCCGTTAACTTCTACAACTTTATTTATTAGTTATTATTTTTTCTAAAATTCTCCTGTTTCTAACAATATATTATATGTATACCCTCTGACTATTATTTCCGGTGATTCATTTTCGATCTGGATAAGCATTTTTTTTTTTTTTTTTCTCCCTTATTCAATTGGTAAATTCTTTCAAAAGTTATATTTAGCCTTTTTTCATTACTCCTAACAATGAGAGATAGTTAATTATTACTACCTAATTAATTAGTTAATAAACCAAATTAAAGGTACTTTAGAGGAAGAAATTTTGAACATTGTACATTTAAGCTCTGTTAAGCGACCTCAATAGTAATAAAGAATTGATATTAAAGATTTCTTAATTATACATTGATACACCAAGTTTAATCAAAATCGTTAAACCTGTTTTTGAGAAAATCATAAAAATGTGTGAAATCAATGATTAAAGTAGCACTTCCAGTTAGCTGATTTTAATCAAAAAGTTGCTATTACATCAGAGTCATATAAAAACCTTAAATATGCAATTTCAGTTTTGTACGACTTTTCGTTTTTGAGTTAGTCTGCTCACACACACAAAACATTTTGCTGGACTTGGTTATTTTAACTCAGGAAACCTCAAAACATGTATTTCCGTTGGAAACTCAGATTCAAAAATTTTCACTATCGCAATGCTTTCCTTTACTATATATTACATATATAGGTAAGTGAGGGGCCGCAGTTATCGGAAGAGTTTAGCCGTCTGCAAAAATACACTCAACGAGTAAAGGCTTTTTGGGATGTGGGGTGGCCGAGCTGGCTAATAAGTGTGGACAGCACCGTGCGTTTCCCAGTAACCTGATAACTCTGGTTTTGAGATTAACAAATAATTACGAGTTCAAATTCCGGTGCCCGGTGAGACTTTTAACTCAGCATAATTTCCCCGACCCGAAAAAAACCCGGTATAGCCTAAAAGTCTAGGAAGGGGGGAAAAAAAATTTAGGTAAGCGAAAGTAAAAAATCATTGTTTTTTGTCATAAATAACTTTTGTTTGTTTTATACACTTACAAATGGTTATTTTAGGTTGTTTTAATGTTTTTTTCATAAGGTAATTTATTTACCAACTATGTTTTCTAATCATTTTCTTACGTTAACTACTAATTGCTTACTTACATTTTTTACTTATGATGTTTGTTTATTTGTTTTTAAGTACCTAATAATACAAAAAATTCAACTGTTTCTTCCAATCATTAGTTTGTAATAAAGAAACTCAACTGTATATGTCAACTGTTTTTACCTAGTATTTTTATTTCAATGTTGAAAATAGTTAAATTATTGTAATTATAACTTAAAATATTTATTACAGGTTCGTGTCTCAATAACTAGCTCTATGAACATTTCAAATGATGAAACAGACATGGCAAAATGGTTAGTGGCCAATGGACCTATTTCTATTGGAATCAATGCCAATGCAATGCAGGTAACATTTTTATAAATATATCCTGTTTGTAGTATTTCTTATTCTTGAGAGTGCCAATGTATTTAGAATTATGAAATTTCTGGAAGAAAGATCACCCTTCACTCTTCAATTGTTCAAATGAACAATTCAAATAAGGAAAACAATTAAAATAAATATATTTAGTATAATTCTAATGACAGAAATCCCCAACCAACTTCTCTTATAATGGAATAAATTACTCATTAAAAAAAAAATAAAAGGTAAGATGTCTGAAGCGTGATCTTCCTTCTTAAATTTCACAATGCTATTTATAAATATAGTTCTTTCTATTACATAAATTTAAAATTTATATTTTTTTGAATTTTCAGTTCTACTTAGGTGGTGTATCACATCCTCTGAAATTCTTGTGTGATCCTCAGTCATTAGATCATGGAGTGCTGATTGTAGGATATGGTATTCATCGTAAGTATTAATTTTTTTTTTACATGTAACTTACTGCATAAAATATGAGGTTTATCTATTAAATCAGAAGACTGCTGCTATAAAACATTTTATTTTGATTTCATATATATTTATTTATTATCACCTTCAATATACAATGCTACAACACTCCATCTGAATCTTCCGTTGTCTGTAACAGTGTTGGAAATCTTCTTCAGTCAGTTCCGTCAGGACGCATGCTGTTTCTTTGACAGCTAAAATAGACCCAAATTTTGTTTCTTTTAATGTAGATGTTTAGACAATCTTTAAAATGATAGTCTGATAATTGGAACAAACAAAAATATGGCAAAATAAAATAACAGTGAGAAATAAAAGGTAGTATATATTGTATTTATTTCTAACGATGGGGAGTTTTGAATCATTTATGGGTCATTTTAGCTCTTACATGATATTTATATTACACAATATAAAAAATAACAATGAACTTGAAGATAGCAAACATTAACATTTACAAAAAATAAAAATAAATTGTTATATAGTTGTGTTTTTTTAATAATTAAAAACAATTTGTTGCCATCTTCATGTTGTTTTTCAAAATTTCAGCAATATTATTTTCGAACTTCATTATGATATTCTTTATAGGCACAATGCTCAGTCTAGGTGATATTTACTGTGCAGGAAAGAAACTTAGGGGATGTCAATAGGTGTTCATGTGTTAGCCTTGAGTGTCCGATTCATAGTTTTACTAGGCTGATCTCTTTTATTCTTTTCAACTGGAAGTGCACTCTATTTGTTACTACAGACAGCTGAAAATTGTAATTTTTATATGAATTGGAAGCCATGACAAGAGTGGCATATTTCCTATTGCAGATATAAAGTTTGGGTAAAACGGTAACTGAAAAACTGTACATTTTGGGCTTAAAAAGGCAATAACTTAATCTTAAAAACTGTCAGAGTTATCCTTTAATACATAAAAGTTAAAAAATATGAAATTAGTTTTCGAAAACCGTACGTGTGAAAACGATAATTAATATTTTATAACATTTCTCTGAAAACAATTTTGAAAGCAATCATACATAAAATGAAATAGGCTGTATTTTTGTAAGTAATGGCTGTATTTTTGCTGTAGTTGTTTTTTCGTATTGTAGGGAATTTAGTAAATTTTTCTGCAGTACTTTTTAATTATAAATTTTAATACTTTTATTGGTTTATTACTTACTTATATATGAAATATACAGTATAGCAATCATGAAACTTTTTAAATCCAATTTTTCAATGAAAATAAACCTTTTGAGATCCCCTGAGTCCAAATAACCAAGTCTTGCAAAATAGTCTCTGTGTGTATGTGAACAGTCTGGCTCATAAACGAAAATATGTACAAAAGTGAAGTTGCATATTTAAAGTGTCTATATGTTTTGGATATTACAGCAACTTTTTTGTCAAATTGGCTAACTGAAAGTAGCACAAATTTACACATTACATTATTTTAATAAATATTGGTATTGGTAACTACAATATTTTGATAACTATGGGTTTTTAAGAAAAATAAAGAAGTTTTACTTTTTAATGATGCCTATAATCTTTCAATAAGACTATAACAAAATAAAATTTACTGTTAAAAATACTGCTACTTTTATGAAAAATGAGTAAATGTTTGTTAAAAAAAATAACAGTCTCTATTTCTATATTCTATATTACTGTTGACATTGCAGGAACTTGGTTACTTCATAGGCATCTTCCTTACTGGCTAATAAAGAATAGCTGGAGCAGTTATTGGGGTAACAAGGTGAGGATCAATTTATAGTCCGTTTTAACATTTTTATTTATAATTTTTCCAGGATATCCCGTATTTAAAAAGTCTCTACCTTTTTGGCTAATCAAAAACAGTTGGGGTGAGAGTTGGGGAGTACAGGTGAGTTATTACCTAATGAATGCATGAATTGGTTCAAATAACTCTTTGGAATGATTTAATGAATCAGTTTTCTTCTTATTTTACTAGACATTTGAACATTAACATATCAAGTGTTCATTTTCAGTACAGTGTTAACCATATGTGAATAACATCGGAATAACTTCATATGAATTTGAATAGACTTGTTGTTATATTTGGCTTCTATTTCGATATTGAAATAAATTAAAGAGCATGAAGACAGCATTTTTTTTTTTTTTTTTTTTTTTTTGTATGAAAGAAAAAACTAATAATTAAATTTGGCTGTTGAAATTAAGCATGTGATTTTTACTATATTTCTTGGAATGAGATTTAAGCTCTTGGTTGAAGTTAATAGAAATTCAGTACTATTCATCGTGCTGGTTTTTATTAGTGACTGAAAACTTTTATTTCTACAAGTTTCTTATTTTGTCACTAAAACAGTATTTTTTTTTTATAATGTTACTTAACTGAATTATAAAATATTGATGTCTGTACTAATAAATGAATGTGTAAATTGTTTACAGTTAAATAATTTATTAGTTTATAGTTTTGAAATTTCTTCATTAATTATTTTTATTCACACTTGTTGCCCATAGGTTTAACAAATTAAATGCTCTTAATTAACAGTGTTTTCTTTATTTGAATGTTTTGGGGATACTCTAATGCTGCTGTTCATTATATACTTGTGTTCCATTAATGGATCAGTCCTGCTAAAGAAGGGGAAAGAGTATATCTGAAATGTCCAAGTAAAGAAAACTCTATCGAAATTATGAGTGTCTAATTTTTAAGATCTATAGAGGGAACAAGTGAGAAAAGAAAAAAAATATCAAATTATCAACATTCTTAATGATGTATAGATGGTTGACCGTTGATATAATATGAGAAGCAGTTAATCGGGAGGTGCGGTCAAATAAATACTAAATTAAAATATAGTAATTATTTAATTTTTGCCGACGTTTCGACCCACTTTGCAGGTCAAACAAAAGATGCAAAACATGGTGAAAATAAAAAAATGAATATAAGTAGATATAAAATAAGAAGAAGTTGTCAGATACAGAAATAAAAAGATGATATCAGAGATATAGTGGGTGACAATGTAGTTAAAATATCAAGTATTAAATATGTGGAAGATACAAAGAAATGGAAAATAAGTATGAATAAAAATAAAAAATAAAGGAGAATATATAACTTACATGCTATAAAATTTAATAATTACTATATTTTAATTTAGTATTTATTTGACCGCACCCCCCGATTAACTCCTTCTCATATCAACATTCTTCATTTTTAAATATAATGTTTACCTAAATCTTTTGTATTAAATAAAACTAGAATATGATGATTCTAGGCCCTATAGAGATAAAAAAAAACAAAAACAAGATGTGAGTGGTGAATGATAAGATGAAGTAGTTGGTGACAGTGAACAGATTCCAATGTCTGATTCAGGATCCACGCTGCATTCGATGTACCACTATATTACGTAGAGCAACTCTCATTATATTCAGTGCCCCCCCCCCTTCTTCCCATTTTTCTGAGCCACAGTTATAATATAGCTTCAAGGGAGAGATGTTCTTTTCTTCGACAGAAACATTGTAAAAATTTATTTCAGGAATGGTTTAGCTTGAGATTTTCAGAAATATACTTGATATCACTGTGATTATATTCTAATATTAGTTTTTTTTATTTAAAAAATAAACCCTTATTTCAGTTTTGGATTACCAAAGTTTGGACTATCAGGACTACACTGTATACAGTTGAGATGGTTCTAATGAAGAGATAACCATACCCCAAGTATTTTTTAAAAATGTATTATCTCTTGTTTCAGGGATATTATATGCTCTATCGAGGCGACGGAAGTTGTGGGGTTAATCAGTGGCCTTCATCAGCGGTCCTTTAAGTATTTCATCCCAGCTCGTAAACTTCTCTCTTGGTACCTTAGTCAGTTCCTAATAGCTTTTTATTTATGAGCTGTTTTAAACTGTTTTTACTTAGAAACCATGGTCAATAATTATGTTATTTTAATAGTTTAAAGATATATAGTTATATTTCTAACTCTTTAATATTTTATTTAATTGTTTAATATATTTGAAGTTATTGCACTTAATAATAACCTTTATTTCTTTTTTAAGAAACTGGTTTTAAATCAAGTGTTTCTTCATCAAAAAATACATTGTTTGTAGATTATAATCTTAGAATTTATAAAATGATTAATACATAATTCAATCTAACTGTTGAGGTCTTCAGTCATATAATATGGTGTCCTAAACTTTTTGTTAATTGGAATATTTAGCTACACCGGTTTCCTTATAGCTGATGTTGGAAGAATTTGTAGGTTTTTATACATTAAAAAAAAATAATGTTGGTATGATTAGTGACTGATGGTTGACAGTAGAACATTTCAACTAACAAATATTTTAATTTCAGAAAAATTTTCATTTCTTTAGCTATCATATTTTACAGACCAAGTGCCATTTAATATAAGCCTTGTTTTTAAATCAGTTACAATTTTATAATATAGTTTAAATTCAATTATTTAATATATGTTGTTCTTGGAGTTGGTGGTTTTACTGTATACGATTGCTAGATAATAGTACTAGATTCTTAATATTGTTAAAACCATATATTTTTAATCTTTAAAGCCAAATTGTATGTTATGCATTCGTTACTAAATACATGAACTTATTTGTGATACACTATGGTATTCAATTATTTTTTTGTTTTTTTTTAAAGTTCTTTTATTTATGTTAGCATTACAAATAGAATATTAAAGTTTTAATTCACTATTTTTTGTTTTCATTCTAAATAAAATTTCTTTAAATTTGCTCTCTTAATTTTTTTAGATATACATAATTATTTGATATTAATAATCAACTTAAAACCAGTTTGTTATCATAAAAATATTGTAGAACCAAATTGGTGTGTTCATAGTATAGATTATTAATCAATAAAATATATTTTTATAGATTATATTAAATACTGTTAACATTTAAGATTGTCATTATTATTATGTAACATTAACCTATGTGATTTATAGAAGGTGACTTTTTTTGTTAAAAACATCAATAAATTATTTTTATAACGCAACAAACAATTATTCTATTGTCTGTTTTGTTGTTCTTTTAGATTTCTAGAAATGTTATAATCCCATTTTCCTAAAATATTTTAAACCATTGACAAATTTTTATTTAATTTTCTCCTCCCTTTTCCTTCCTCTAATTTGGGCAAATACTGATATTGCAAAGACCAATACATCAGTCTTAAAAACTTATTTTAACAAGATTGGTAGAGTTTGATAATTTTTTATTTATTTATTTTTTTTTTTTGGTTCTTCGCTTTCTCTAATTTGAGTAAATACCGAAATTCCGGTTCTATGACTTCAACAGATATATCAGCCTTATAAACTTTTTTATTTTTATTAGTAATTAAAATAATATTATAAATGAAATTTCATGTATTCTTAATATTAATGCCCTCCAATGTGGCAGAATGTATTAATAAAGAAAGTAAAAAAAATAAATTAAATTCTTTGAATATCGATAATACATGATGTTTGTGAGGCCAACATCAGTTTTGGAATATGGTATCTGCCAAAATTAGGTAAGGGAAGGGCTAGAAAAAAAAATTCAAACTCTACCGATCTCAACAAAATAGTCAAAAAGCGATATATTGGTTTTTACTCAATTTTATGTTTATTTCGATCCCTTGACGATTGATTAACACATTTATTCACAGTAAAAATAATGTTTCAAATTAAACTTAATGAATCTCGATAAATTAACATCATTAGGCCAGTATATCAGTCCAATGGGAGGGGGGAGGGAGGAAAGAGGTTAAACTCTTCCAATTTTGATAAAATAAGGTTGTAAGACCGATATCAGTGTTTGGAATAACCTTACCGGCTTTAATTATGAGGAGAAGACAATAAAAAATATGGTATCTGCTCGAATTAGGAAAAGCCGGTAAGCCAAAAAATAATTTTAAAAATGGTCTTAGTCTTCGGATCTCGATAAAATAAGGTCACAAGGTCATTATATCGGCTTTCGCTCAATTTGATATTTTTGTCGATTTCTTGACAATTGAACGATGCATTTATGAGCAAAAAAAAAACTATTTATAGAAGTTTGAATCTTGATCAAATATTGTCTTTATGCCGATAAATCGGTATTTAAAATATCGCGATCTCCTCAAATTTATGTTTATGTCGATTCCTGGGCGATTGATTGATACATTTATTAATAATAATAATAATAATAATAAAAGGCTTAGCGAACCCGAAGGTTCGATGCCGACACCATTAATCACTTATTAAACACCTCCCTCCACCGTTCGCCGTCCAAACCCAGTCCCTTCAGATTGGCTTTAATGCAATCTTCCCACCTTCGCTTCGGTCTACCCCTCGGACGTTTACCATTCGGCACAGCAAATATTAATCTTTTAGTAATTCTCTCGATACTAAGCCCAACAACTTTACAAGCCCATTTGATTCGCCGCGATGAAATTACCTCAATTATATTACCCGGATACAGTTCACGCAATTCGGCGTCGTGTAACCGTCTGAACTCTCCGGTTAACTCATCCTTCTTCGGTCCGAATATTCTACGCAATACTTTATTTTCAAAAACCTTAAGACGCTGCTCATCCCTTAATGTAAGCGGTCAAGTTTCGCATCCATAAAGAACTGTAGGCAAGATAATTGTTTTATAGATTCTAATTTTTTAGTTCCGGGACAAGAGGCGCGAACTGAGTAGTTTTGTCACAGAAAAATAACAAGCATTTCCCGCCTTCAGTCTAACCTTAATCTCTTCTTCAATTTCGTTTTTTCTAGTTATCGTAGAACCTAGATACGTAAATTTATCTACCTGTTCAAACATATGACCATCTATATCGATATCACCAATAGTATCGCCATTTTTGCAGCTAACCATATATTTTGTTTTATCCACGTTTATTTCGAGTCCTAGTTCTTTACCAGCTTTCATTAACGTTGTCGTATTTAGTTTTATAGTTTCAACGTCTTCGCTTAACAGTACCAGATCATCAGCATAGCCCAGCCCGGATGTTACAAAAGCACGGATTACAAAAAAAAAATTAAGAAAAGTAACCACAAAAATGGCTAACCTCTACCAATCTTGGTAAAATGAGATTGTGAGGCCGATACATCGGTCTTTGTTGTCTCTTACGTTTCGGGACAATTTTCCCATCATCAGAGCAATATTTTTATTTTTACATTCATTTTTTTGAAGTGGCACCATTTGTCAAAAATTAATTATTTGTCACATTTTTTAAAAATTATTTGGTGTTACACATATTCACTGATACACTCATAAATAAATAAATATGAAGAAAATTGGAAGTTTTATTGCCTAAAATATGAAAAAAAAAATCATTATTTCAGAATTAAATTTAGTAGTTATTTCATCGAGATTATTTCATTTGTTATTTGAAATATTATTTCGGAAATAATCCATTCATGAAATAAACATATGATTTATTTCAGAAATAAATAATTTCAAGAATGCTCAGATTTACTTTTATACCTTCACTATGTACAGTTTTACAGCATGGTCTGACTTTTATAAGCCAACTTTTATCTTTTGAGTTTGATAACTTGTTCATGGCAAATATGTTTATAATTCTGTATGTGTTGTCAATTAAATAATATTTCCCAGTGTTCAATATTCATTTTAAATGATTAGAATACTCCAGTTACAACACTCCTATAAAATATCGAAAAAATTCAAAAAGTTACATAAACTTGATGTGCAATCTCGAATCAGACAGTATTTTCATAAAAAGCACCTCTGACTAGAAAATTGAACCCCTATATCGAAGAAATCGAAAAAGTTACATAAACTAGATAGACGATTGCGCTATTCTATAAAAAGGCTTGTTAAAAGAAATTTTAAATTCAATTATTCCATCTTTTATTGGAACCCGAATAACAAATTAAAAGATAATAGACAAATGATTAAAAATATTTATTACCCAAATGATTAAAAAATAAGCTATAAAAGATAATATACCATAGTAAATAGGCATTTACAGCCACTAAATGTAAGTACGTGCCAATAAATATTGTATAACTAAAAGCATTTTTTTAACAGGTGTTGCTGGACGGCTCAAACATCATTTTATATATTTTCTTCTAGAATAATTACAGTTAGAATAAAAATTAACAATTGAGAAATTTTAAAATAAATTATTCGTAAGTAAGAAGTTCTATGATGGGATAAGCCGGTTTTTCAAATAGGCCTCTGGGGAAATGTGTGATTAAGACAAGAACTGATGTCATAGCATGCGGGACCATTTGACAGTTGGCGGTTTATGAAAAAGTGTGACCGAAGTGATTGCGAACCACGCGTAATCCGTGCGAAACTCATGTGAACTAATATCACGTTATTTATTTAATCGAGATTATTATTTGTAGTTATAGTCTAGGCGGCGACTGCGATTGAGTATGCAAAAATCATCGGCGTGGTTTCTCTTTAGATTCTTGTCCGGGATGTCCTATTCGGAGGTGTCCATCCCCCCCAAGACCGATGGCGCATGTCTCCTTCCCCCCCAAAAAAAATATTTTTGGCCCCCTCACTTATATAATTAATATGGATCTATATTAGATGTTATATCAATGTTAGTTTAAAATATAGCAGATATATAATATTGGTTTGTTTCTCGAGAATATGAAAGGCAAAATACATTAGGCGATTACAATCAACAAGTAACATCAGTAATAGTCACATAGGACCCACATTTGAAAAACCACTCGACGTATATAAAAGTAGATGAAGGTCGTATAAAGTATAAATGCTATTATCCCTCGTATCCCTGTCCATCCCGATTACCTTCTCTCATCAGAAACTTAATCTCGTTGGAGGTGATAGGGAACTTTTATGGTATTATCTATATTTTTTATTGATAATACACAGAGAATTGCCACATGCAGAAAGGGAGGTCAGTTAGGAATTCAGGATTGGAATCTATGAGTGTCTAATTTCAGCTTTGATTGTTTGCTGTACTAGTAATAATAGCTGCGATCGGCGGGATAATTATCTGGCTCGGCGTTATAGTATATCAGATTCGGGACATGTCGAGGTAAAGTATTTTCGTCATAAATTCTGGAGGACTCGATTGAGGAGGAAGCAGTCCAGACAGTTTGTTGGATAATACTAGTATAGCATATCTAAGGTCATTTTTGTCAGAAAGGATTTGACGAAAAAGATTCCACCTAATTAGACTTATAATGCAAAACGGTGGTAATGGTTTGGGAATGGGAACCAGTAAAAGTTGGAGAGTTAGAAGGCTATGATCAGAGCAGAGTTCATATAGACGTGTATGTGAGGGGGCCTAAGGCGCTGTTTTAAATAATGGATATCTGGATACGATGGAGAAGCAGGTAGGAGAGCTAAGAAAAGGAAGGTAGAACGATGGAAATTCAGTACAAATAGCAATGTTTAACCACGTGAATTCCTGGTTCTGGAACCCCAGTTTTGATGATAGTTACAGCCTCGAGGACTCAAAACGTCGGCATATATAATTTTAAAAATAATTTTGATTGATTTCTTATTTGTCATTCTCTATAAAGATAAATATTTTTGGACCAAACCAATGGAGCAATTGCTTATTGAAGTAGGAAGGAATACAAAAAAACATCTGGAAACGATAGGAATAGCACTCTGCAGGCTATATAATTTGGAGACTTTCAAACGTATTCCCGTTACTGGAAATAAGTAAGACGAAGCTGTTAAAAAAACGGAATAATACTGGGCTGTTAGATTTTTAAAGATGGCAGCCGAAAAATAATTAAGTTCTAATGCCAACATATTGCAGAATTTACCTGCTCGGAAAGTGACTCATATAAACTAGAGTAGTGCCGTCAGTTCGATATTTACCGTAAAACGGAGAAATTGCACTAACATTACTGCAAAGCTAAAATAACTTCTCTATTGACGTAAGCAAAAAGTAATGGATGAACAAGACTAGCTAGACAACAACAACAAGGGGAATGGGAGGTCCTAAACTACGCTGAAAAAAAAAAATGAAAGGTAGATTTAATTTTTTTTTGTCATTCTCTTTAATGAGAAACCGCTTATAAAA